GCCGCCCCCCGCCACAGCTCTCCGCGGCGGTCCTCCGCTGCAGGATTGGTGGGATGAATTCTCGCAGCGGATTTCCGGTTTGTTCTTATCCCTGGAAACAGAGAGACTCTTGTTTGTGCATTGGCGTTTGTTTTGTAGTTTTTTCTCACCGATTACATGTTAGTTCTCTCTGGAAGATTTTTTAATCGTGTTTGATTGAATTTCATTCCTGGGTTCTCGATTTCGTCGGGAGTTACTGGTGAAGCTTCATTGTTCAATTCGTCGACGTCGATTTAGATGTTCATGTACGGAGTCAATCCAAATCGAGTTGCAGAATTTGTGTTGATGCGGATAAGAGAAAATTAGATGAGTTTCCGGTGGAATTTTTGAGGGCATTAGCCAGAATTCAGAATCTCCGAATGGGTTGCTCCTAAATATCAGTTTTGAGGGAAAGTGTCCTCCATGAAACAAGTACTGTAGACAAGAATGTTCCTCAATGTTACTTGCTCATTCCAGTATGAATTTATCGGATCTTGATCCATGTATTAGCTGTTTCGGGTTCGTTGTTCGTCGAGCAATGTGTTTGCTCAGTGGCTTTACATTCGTGGAAGATGTTTAGATTAGTGGAGCTGGAGTCGTTCTTTGGGCTGAAGTGCTCAAAATTGATATGGATAAGAGGTTAAAGTTGATCCTTCTAGGTCGAGAAATTTTGTGCTCTTAGCCTCTTAGTTTCCTTCTCGGCGGCGTTTTGAATTTCTGAAACATGGTAACACTGATGTTAGAGTTTGATGGTGGTAGTCTATGGCTGTACCATGTGCCAGGAACATTTTCATGACATTCTGTTTAGGGTTTACGTGTGTCGAATGCCTTCCATGAAATCTGCAAAGTATCAGTACATTGTCTAGTTGTAAATGTTTTCTGTGAATTTTCTACTTATGTGTCGGTCTCTGTGTAAGTAAAACCGATCGGTCAGGTGCAGATATTTAGCTCTGCTTCGATTCTTCTACTGGTTTGAAAACTGATGTAGGCTTTGAATTCGTCAAGCTTGAACCTTTGAAGTGATTAATGGATATGAAGGTGCAGTATTCTGTTCATGAGCTTAGCAAATGTACAAGGCATGAACTTTTTTTCTAACACAAGACAGACGATCATTTAGATTGTATTCTCCGTTTGATTTTGATGACTAAGATTATGCTTTTTATTTACGTTTTAGGTCCTCTGTTGGATTCAAAAGATCCCAAGACATTGGAGTCAATCCTCAAAGTATCAAGGAAGACATTCAACTACATCTGTTCTCTCGTGAAGGATGATTTCACCGCAAGGCCCGCAAATTTCAGTGATTCAAATGGAAAACCTTTGTCTCTCAACGATCGAGTAGCCATTGCGCTTAGGAGACTCGGCTCTGGTGAATCTCTGTCGATCATTGGAGAATCTTTTGGTATGAACCAATCTACTGTCTCCCAAATCACTTGGCGGTTTGTGGAGTCCATGGAAGAAAGAGGGCTTAAACATCTCTCATGGCCTGCGAAATCAGACGAAGTGAAGTCAAAGTTTGAGAAAATCTCGGGTCTGCCCAACTGCTGTGGGGCAATTGACATTACACACATTGTTATGAACCTTCCGGCTGTAGAGCCGTCCAACAAGGTTTGGCTCGACGACGAGAAAAACTACAGCATGATATTGCAGGCCACGGTGGACCCAGACATGAGATTTCTTGACGTAATTGCGGGTTGGCCTGGTAGTTTAAGTGACGAGGTTGCCCTCAGGAACTCGGGCTTCTACAGACTTGCGGAGAAAGGAAAGAGACTCGACGGGGAGAAGCTTCAGCTTTCGGAAGGAACTGAATTGAGAGAATACATAGTAGGGGACTCAGGTTTTCCTCTTCTCCCGTGGCTTCTCACTCCATACCAAGGCAAACCCATGTCGAATTCTCAAATGGAGTTCAACAAAAGACACTCAGAGACCAGAAAGGTGGCTCAAATGGCATTGGCGAGGCTGAAGGATAAGTGGAGGATAATAAACGGGGTGATGTGGATGCCAGACAGGAACAGGTTGCCGAGGATAATCCTCGTATGTTGCTTGCTGCACAACATTCTCATAGATATGGATGACAAAGTGTTGGATGATTTGCCGGTATCTCATCAACACGACATGAGTTACAAGCAACGGAACTGCAAGTTTGTCGATGAGGCTGCCTCGATCATGAGAGACAAACTCTGTCACCACTTGTGGGGAAAGGTTTCCGAAGCTTGAAGTAGGTGATCCCATTTTTCTTTCCATAATGTAGCACAAGTAATGCATTTTCTTTTCATAATCTGTAAGGATTATTAGATTTAATCGATTAATACATGATCCTCCTTGTTGATGTTCTGGTTTCAATCTGGGAAATAGATAGAAACATTGTGGGGCCTTACGTCGTGTAATATGAATGAATGTTGAAGTTTCCCCTTAAGGAAATGGAAACGTTTGTGGGTTACTCGGTATCAAATGAGGCCCGGTACGGGTGGGATGAGACGAGGAAATTCGGACTGTGGGTTCGGGTTCGAGTCTTACCATCGCACGAGAGGTTACTCGGCCATGGGTACCCGTAAATGTACAAAATGAAGTGTATACCCTTCCTACAATAATATTAGTCTATTTTAGTGCAAAATTATCAACGTAACCCCGATGACAGGGATGAGCAAAAAAACCAGAAATTCAGATCGGGTCGAGTATCTGAACATCTGATAAGATGAGATCGGATATAATATTTTAGAAAAATCTAAAATTTAGATCGATTCGGTTTAGATAATGAAGTATGAGACGGATAATTTTCCGCATGTATATGAAAAATCATAAATTTACAATTTTCTTTGATCTTTATATTTTAATTATATATATATAAATCTAAATCTAAACTTATTATAACTTTCAATATATGATTTTTTGTATCTTTTTATTTGCTTTTACTATTATATTATAATTTATATATATCTTAACTATAGCATATATATGATATGTATTATATTTTTTGTTAAAATTGTTTTAAAATTTTGTGTTGGGTATCACAAATATCCGAAAATTATCTCTGTTACCCGAACAAAAGGGGTTGAGTTCGGATAGTACATTATGAGAAATTTGGAACCGGATTCGAGTAACTCTAAAATTTCGAATGCCCGATCTAAGCCCGCCTCGACCCGATGATGAACAAAAAATAACGTTTGTACCCTTTTCTGGGATCGAATCAAGGCATCACAATATATCTAATATCCAGACAGAACCGGTAATCCAAACATGAGGTCATGAAATGAGTGAGACAACCAACTCGCCGGGGCTTACAAGTTAGTATCTCGTACTCCTGCTTTATATATAGGCTCATATATAGACTTTAACGACGTGAAAAGATCATGAAATGACTCTACCCTACGTGGAATATTCCACATGTTCGGACCGGAATATGATAATATATATATATATATATATATATATATATTAATTATTCTCTGATTAAGAAACATTTCTAGCCTCAAGACTTTGTACTAAAATCGTATATTCTCTCCCTACAAATTCCTCGTCTTTTCATCTGCGTTTTGTTTCCACCTATATATACTCCCTATGTTGCGCCAGAAACCGCAAACGCAGAAATTGTAACTCGCCCTTCGAAGAATCTATATTTTTCCACCGATCACTTCTCGTCCGACGTATATATGCATGTATGTATAAGTAGTTGCAGTTCACATATATATACACCGTATAAATGCATATTTATGCTTCTGACATATATTTGCTATAAGGGTATTGGAAATCCACGTAGGAAACCCACAAGATGTATGATTTGGAAGAACTCAAAGCACCACGCAAAAGGCGCTTTTTACATATATTAATATTGAAGCCGGGATTCAAAACGATAAGACATATACGTAAACATATATATATATATATATATATATATAGGAGTTTGGCCAATCGGAATCTACAAATCCCGGTTTGGAAATTAGACTCCGGATTTGAAATTTTTATTTAACTAATTAATCTCGCTAATATTAGGGTTTTCTTTTTGGAAATCTCTTTTCAGACAGATTCATTGTTAGGCCTCGCTTGTGGTTCCACTCCTCGGTTTGCTTTTGACGAGACACTCTCAACTTGATGAATGTGACTAAGTGGGAGTTCGTTGTCTATGTCCGAAAACGACGCATTGTCGTCTTTGCTTTTGCCCCACAAAACCGAGTAGAGTCCAAGAACTATCACTATTGCTCCAAGAATCCTACAAAAAAAAACGACAACAATCTCTTACTTACTTACAGATCGGTTAATTAAAAGAATCAGACGGCTATTTTCTTGGTGATGAGATTCAAGAAATCTAGGGTTTATAGGATTGAGACAGTATAGTGACTCACGTTCCAAGGAACATAACCTCGGCCAACACAAAAGAACCCAAGATGGCGACGATGACCATGCTTAGAGGATTAAAGGCGGTCACGAATACAGGCCCTCGAGTCTTCATTACCACTCCTTGAACATAATAAGCGATCCCCGAACAAATCACTCCCTGAATATATACGAAAATCCATGTCCACTCAACTCAATTTTCTACCGAAAATTTGGTTAATCGAATGCTAAATGACGACTTACACTATAAACAATAGCCAGTAACTTGGAATCTAACTGTATGGACCATGCGGACGGATTGCCTCTTTCGATCACAAGAGCCACTACGGTGCCCTCGATGGCTCCCATTAAGCATATGTACGCTGTTAAAGAGAGCTCGACCGGGTACGTTTTAAGCGTGATTGCCTGCATGATAACAAAGAATTGGATTCTTGATTAAGGACGGGAAATACATAGGTGAAAAGGAGAATATATTCGGCATATTTAGCTGAAATTGTACCTGGAGATTGATGAAACCGGCCCAACAAATGCAACCGACGGCTATGAGGAGAGCACCCTTAACAGGATCCTGTTTTATACTCGGATTCGACGATTCTTGATGGGCATTGTTTGGATTATCGGTCCATGGAAGTGGAACTAAAGGACCTTTCACAAGAGTCATGAGCATTGCTCCACCGACCGTTACAATGGTCCCTAGAATCTTGGCCTGACTCGGCATTTTCTTTATATTAACCTTCTCAAGCCTGTATATTATAAAGTATATATAGCAACTTTTTTATAAATAAAAAATTACAAACAAAAACAGAGTTCTTGATTTATACTTGAAAACATGGGTTTACGGCTTTAGTGTTGTACCTGAAGAGCCAGGCCATAAGAAACGCAAAGGCAGGGAGAACATTGGACATTGCGGCCGTGAAAGTTGCCGAAGTGTATCTCATGCCGGTGTAGTATAAGTTCTGGTCTATTGTTGGCCTATATATATACATATATCGGATAAATAATCCGTATAGAAACACATACAAATACAAAATCTTGAAAGAGAGAAAAATTCCTTGAAGCTAAATTCTTACTCCAATAATCCGAGCAACAATATCTTGAACAAGATCGGGAGAGTCATCTTTGGCCTCACTTTTCTGCTCATTGAGAGACAGGAAGCAACTTAATAGCCATACTATGATTCAATCATGCATGAATTGGAATCTAGCGTGTATATATATGCAGAGACAAGTTCATATATATACTATATATGTTATACGTTTACGTACATATATACGCACATGAAAATTTCATACCTATCCAAGAAAAAGGCGAAAGGGGCAATGATGAGAGTAGCAACTACGTGACGGTAGGCAGCGAGAACATGAGGGCTCATGCCTTTGTTGAGGGCAAACTTTGCAATAATCGACATGCCCGCGTTACCAAACTGTAGAAATATGACCGTTAGAAACGGCTTCCATGTCTTCAATCTTCCCACACATCCCTTATCCATTACGAGGCTTCGGTTTAATTAGGACAAAGATTATACGTATATATGTGTGTCTATATATATATATATATGTGTGTGTGTGTGTGTAGTGATGAGTTGATGATGAGAAATGAAGGAGAGGGTGAGGTTGGTTTTATAGTAGGGTTTCAGGTTCATGCATTTAAAAAAAGGCAAATTATATACATGGCCTTTGTTTAGGAAGGAATTCTAGGGATTCCACTTTGTATTCGCAAGTGTTGTGGTGGTGAGTATATGTATATGTGTTGCCATTAATTATTGACATAAATATTGCAACATTTCTTCAGCTTTTTCACCTTGGCATGAAGAAAATGATAATTACCCAAAATACCTAATTTTATTTTTGTACCATAAAATACCTAAAATTTAGTTAAAATAACCCATCTTACAAAATATGCTACGATATATTTCAGGAAAGGAAAAACGGTGAGAATTCCTCATGTTTTGACACCTCTGCATGTATACATGTCATTCCCCGTAGATATTTTGTTTTCATTTAATTTTCTATAAATCATCTGTATCAATTTTCATAAAATTATATAATTAAAGTTTAAACCATAGGATTTACATCCGAACCAAGGTATTGATCTTATACAAATCAAAACCGTTTATTTCTCAAACATAAAATTTTTATTTTCTTCTCAAAGTACATTGAATTAAATATTTAATAATTTTTAAAAAAGCATATACAATCTCCAAGTGGTTGCACCAACATCTATGCTCTAATGTGCCAAACCCTTTTCCTTGCCTAAACCCTAAAGCGGACTGCATTAAATTACGAAAATGCCATTGTGACACATTTATATGCGGTTAATTTCATATAAATTTCGTTTTTTTTAGATTATATACATAAGATACCGGATGATTAAGAATGCCATTAGCGAATAGATTTATAGTTACATAAGTTTAAAAATTAAAAAAAAAAACTTTTAAATAACATAACAGTTTGTGATTAAAAATTTATTATCAATTTGGATCACTTTATACGAAATTTGATATCTAAATGCTTGGTATGCGAGAGACAAATGCATGGCTTTAAAAGATCACGATGAATCCCAAATACAAGACAAAATAGATTCCCATTGATCCTATCATTCAAAATACACGGACAATTATGTAATTGAATAATTAATCGAACCCACCAAACTATATTCCGATCTTTGGTGGTTATTTTCTTAATATTTTCTCAGACAAATTTCGGAACTTGATGATAAATGATGCCTAAAGTACTAAACAAGATCTGAACTAAATCATATAACTCTTGTTTTTAGTGAGTTTTTTTTTAATGATTTTTATTTCGATCCCAAATGGATGTTTTTTTTCCTAAGTAAAATCATTCTCAATAACATGTGGTGGAAATGGGGAATTTGCACATGCCTTGATTCGAATCCATTCCTCCCGCTTTCTAGATGTCTCAAGCATTCATTTTCCATTGAGAATGTATGAACTGTGTCCATACATACATATATATATATATGTCGATTAAATGTTAATCTGTAAAATTAATTACATGCACTATTATATAATACTATAACTAAAATCTATGGAGTTACAAAAAAAAGATAGCCCGGTCTACAAAGTATCCTCGATGAGTAGGGTTCGGGGAAAGATCTCCTACAATAGCGTACTATAAATAAAAATAAAATTGTTATTTGAATCCATATTAATTTTTTAGAATGGAACATTTTTATGTGTTATAAATAAGTTTTGTTTGATAATGTTTCTAATTTTTAATATTTGTTAGTGTATGATAGATATCTCAAACACATCACAGATTTTTTTTTCTTGCATTTTCAAAATTAAAATTGCGTCCAGCATAAGGTTGTAGAATGATCTAAACACACATGTTAAAGTTGCATTCATAAACAAAAAAAAAATTTAATGAAGCCGAGATTTTAGCTTTTCACCATTTATCATCGTAAACAATTCGAGAATCAAACGGAGTAATTGATAATAAAAAGGTAAAAAAAAAATTAAAACAGTTGGAGAAAATAAGAAATGTTTATGATTAAACAAACCCCAAATAAACAAAATAACAGGAAAAATCAAATGAATCAACATAGAACGCCACGTAGATGGATAATGACGTGGTTTTACGACATTGATTTTTTTTTAATAGACTAAAGTTGAATCTTCTTCGGCATTTTGTCTCGGAGCAGTTATAATATAATGTTGATATGCTTATTAAATATAAAATTTATTAGTGCAAGACCCATTATTGATGATCAAACCGTGAATTTCTGTACATATTTCGAATTTTGATTATATTTTGGTTTAATTATTTTAAATATATTTAGTTTTTTTTAAAAGTATATCATTTAAACTTTATATCAGTTTTTACTTTGATTTGAGTTTTATTTGATTTCTTTTGGATATGATTTTTAATTAAAAAAAATTAACGAAATTATTAGTTTTTTGCTTTTCATTTATGTATATATTTGTCTTCAAATTTAATTAAATTTTATTAGTGATAATCACAATGTCCACCCCTAACCTCAAAATACTAGTGGAGTCCTCGTTTAATTACTCTAGAACCCCATTCATAAGTACACCAAGCTACGGAAAATGGCAGTGAGATAAAAAAAAATAACAATTTAATGAGATTTTTGGAAGTCAATGTAATATTTGTTTTAGATCATTAGAATGAATACGATAAAAAAAAAATTGATCTCGATAATATTAAAATGAAACAAGAATGAATAATTTAACAACTTAGATTAGATAAATTGCCCCAAGACCTTGCGAGAAATCCACTAACCAAGAAGGAAAAGTTTTGCCAAATAATAATAATAATAATAATAATAATAATAATAAAAGAAGTCAACATCTCCAAAGCAAACTCTACATAATGCAGGAAATAGTTGCAAGTGGAGACAAATAACCCATGTAGATTCTAAGACACGTCATTATTATTCCGAACCCATTAGCTTACCTTTTTATGTAGGTTTTGAAAATTGTAAGAGAATCGTTTTTTAATAATTAAATTCTCTAATCAGAATAATTTATGTATTTTTGTATAGCTGAACGTAACCTTACACAATTCAAGTTTAAACCATAGGATTTACATCCGAACCAAGGTATTGATCTTATACAAATCAAAACCGTTTATTTCTCAAACATAAAATTTTTATTTTCTTCTCAAAGTACATTGAATTAAATATTTAATAATTTTTAAAAAAGCATATACAATCTCCAAGTGGTTGCACCAACATCTATGCTCTAATGTGCCAAACCCTTTTCCTTGCCTAAACCCTAAAGCGGACTGCATTAAATTACGAAAATGCCATTGTGACACATTTATATGCGGTTAATTTCATATAAATTTCGTTTTTTTTAGATTATATACATAAGATACCGGATGATTAAGAATGCCATTAGCGAATAGATTTATAGTTACATAAGTTTAAAAATTAAAAAAAAAAACTTTTAAATAACATAACAGTTTGTGATTAAAAATTTATTATCAATTTGGATCACTTTATACGAAATTTGATATCTAAATGCTTGGTATGCGAGAGACAAATGCATGGCTTTAAAAGATCACGATGAATCCCAAATACAAGACAAAATAGATTCCCATTGATCCTATCATTCAAAATACACGGACAATTATGTAATTGAATAATTAATCGAACCCACCAAACTATATGTTATAACTTTATTGTAGTTGGAAGGCACGAAAGTATATATATACATGTATACGTGTATAGACACACATATGTGTATATATTAGTGTATACACTATTATAACACGCGCACTTGTACACGTACGAAGCATATGGCATCCGAATCGGATTACGAGTGGAAAGAAGACAAAAAGACTTTAGGATGAAGGCAGTGAGAAGTTTCCGATTCTCTCGACCTGTCTAAGTCTTTTGATAGGAACAATTCCATGGAATCCCACAGAGTTTAATTCCTCGAAACCTAATCGTATTTTTGGTATGTGATGTGGCGAAACGTCCTCGATTATTTTTCTTCTTATCTTCATTTCCACCCTTTTTTGTATGCTTTTTTTTTTTAAAAAAAAAAACTTTTATCCACTTGACTTTTAGTAATAAAGTAATTTGATTACCATCGGAATTGGATTTGGTTTTGGTTTTGGTTTTGGTTTTGGTTTTGGTCAATTCATTTGTGCTAATTATATTACATGATTATATAAACCCGGAGCTTACACTAAAATTTAAAATGTCTTCTACTTTTGGAATGATTGCAAATAATTCAACGCAAATTCATAAAATGGCTCTTGATGACAAAAAAAAGAAGAAAGAAGCAGTTTTAAATTTGCTGGCTATAATTTATATCGACTATAAAAATTTATGTAGACAAAGTCGAAATTAATATTATATTACATTTGTATTCATAAAAAGAAAAGAATGAAAGTACAAAAGATATCTAACATTTAGATTAATTATGCCCTCTAATATCTTTTAGAACCGTTAAAATTTTAAACCGATTTTTTATCGACTAAAATAGGAATTATATAAAATATAATATATCACATGTATCATTTGTAATTTTGATAAGTAACGATATATATTTATATTTTGATATTTAGATCACACAACATTAGGCAAGGCAAAATCGAGCGTAAAGTGCTCTGTCGACTACCACTTGACGGATGTGATGATTCGAGTTACATCTTTTTTGCGTATGATTTTATTGAGTCGGTCGAACTTTTGCCTTTCTACCTTGTTAAGTGATCATGTACATTATTCGATTTACCTGTAAATAAAAATAATATAAAAAATAAATAAAATAATATAAAAAATAAATAAAATAACATAAAAATATTTCGAGCAGGCACCCTCTACCATTGAGAGTGCCTTACTAGTACCCATCATGTCGTAATTGGAAATCTCGATTAGGGGAGGGTTATCAACCAAAATATTATACGATTCGTAATGATCAGATAGTTTATAAATGCACAATTTTTAATTCTATAATATGACTCGTGATGTAATTGGATTTTTTTAAACCATATAAAGAATATATTAATACATACAAATTCAAAAGCAACGCGAACTCTAGATAATTCTCAACTATTCGCATTCTGATAATCCTAATTAGCAATCTAAATAATGAGGCTATATATGGTATATCCTCTAATATGGCAATCTTGCATATTGTAATCTGCATTTTTCTTTGTTGTAATTAGGTCAAGAGCTTGTATATTTGTGCTTCGGCTGATGAATGA